CACAGGCGAGAGCTGTTTCTACTGTATTTGTTCCAAAGATGCACATGCCAAGGAACAGAAGAAGTCCTCTTACACTGAGTCAGGACATTGGTTTACTGTATTTATATCAGTGTTGTCAACTATGACTAGCAATGGCTCTCCAAGGTTTCAGGCCAAATTATCTACTAACTCTACCTGGACATTCTTGGTCTTACTTTGAGTTCCCCTCTTCCACATACTAACTAGGTCTGACCATGCTTAGCTTTCAAACTATGGCTAGTTTGAAAGTCCCACCGGCTATTTGAATCGATTTCTGTTCAGACTTTTTAAAAATGAGGTTCACGTCATGTGATGTTTAAACTTGTGGCCATGTTCCCATGCACTGAAAGGAAATCTATTTATTTCTGATGATTTAAACTGGTTTTGATATATACAGTGCTGAAATTGCCTCATTTTCTTTCTGTTTTAGAAGCACACTGCTCTTAAAGGTTTGGATTTTATTTTATTTTATTTTTTTAAAAAGGAAGTGATATATTGACACATCAAGTGTCCGGGAGATGCCACCTGGTGTCACAATAGTTGCTGCAAATCATGGGCATGTGATGTTTAAACTTGTGGCCATGTTCCCATGCACTGAAAGGAAATCTATTTATTTCTGATGATTTAAACTGGTTTTGATATCTACAGTGCTGAAATTGCCTGGAAACACTGGAAAGGTGACCCCAGCTGATTAACAATGAAAAAAAATGAAAATGTGGGGGAGGCTACCACGAGTTTTGCAGAGCAATGCTCCTGGTGCACAAACCATCCTCCATATTGAGGCATGCCTGCTCTGCATCCACAGATATTCCACTACTCTGCTGGCTCCTTCATTGGCTGAATGGAGATAATGGGGTAGGAGGTTGTAATGCCAAAGGTAACATGAAGTAATGCAGTGATAAACATTTTAAGAAAGATTTTAAAAAAATTAAAAGGAAAAACTGTGGTGCCCATGCCATCCAAAATTCACATAGGCACAAATTAAAACAACAGCAGCATTCATATCCACAAAACCACACTGACTTGAATCGATTTCAAAAGTGAGATATTTTAAAAGCCCCTGCCGGCCAGTTGAAGAAAATTCACTTTGCAGCCCATGTAAATCAATTTCATCCTTGCATTATATGAATGATAACATCTGAATTGATTGAAATGATGCTGAAATGTGGTTCTTATTGCCAGTGTGACTGCAGCCTCAAACAAGATTGGGTCATTTTAGGGTAGCATGGTGTATAACTTACTCAGGGGTAAGTCACACTGCATTCCTGAGGGATTTATAACTTTACTCTGACAGGCTTAGTATTTTGTTGTAAATACTCTTCACATTACATCTTATAGGTCTCATAAAATGATTAAAGGGAGCTCTAACTTGTACCCATTAGGGATTTTTTTGCCTAATTAGGGATTTGCCATTCAGTTTTGTTTTGGATGCCAACTTCCAGGATTCACTGAGAATTCCCCCAGGCATTATTGTGGGAGATGCAGCCCCCACCCCAAAAAACAAAAAAAACACAGAATTTTACAGAGCAAGTTTATCTTACTACATCCATCCCTGTGACTCTCATTTCAAAAAGGAGGAAACTGCCCTGGTACTCCCTGGGAGATGCAAGGCCTCGTGGGATGGATGGTTTTGGTTTTGCTGCCCATAAGGTTCTACAAAGGGCTTCTCCCAGAGAACTGCTCCTCCTTTGAGGTCTTGCAGTTCCCAGGGGGCATGGGGCAAATTTCCTTCTTTTTGAAAGAAGATTCATAGCAACACAGGCACTGATGGAGGTGAGAAAGGGTGGTCTGTAGGCTTTTGTGTGTTTTTTTTAATCTGCACCTCCCAGAATTATGCCTGAGGGAATTCTTGACAGTTTCTGGGAGTTGGAGTCCAGAAAAATCCAAATGGCACCTCCATAATCCTGACAACTCAGTACCTTAGTACCATGTCTCCTAGCAACTCAAATGTACATGTCTTGTTTAATTGTTCTGTAATTTTCTTTCATTCTTCTTTGGAATGAGAATATGTAACTGATGTAGTCATTTAAGCTGTAGTTCCATATACACTGTGAAACTCAGTGAGATTTACTTATGAGTAGCCATGCATCCATAGCCATGGGAATTCGGGGGGGGGGGGGGGTTAGCAAAACTACACCTTAAATATTTCACTTACCTTGAAAGCCATATTAGGGTCACTATAAATCAGTTCTGTCTTGACAGCACACAACAAGAACAACAAAGCATGTGTGGGATTTTAATCTTACAGCTATAAAATACAGAGAGCTTGTTCTATGCTGTCGGTAATATGACATAAGCTTCTGAAAATAATGTTGTGGTTATAGTCCTAGGCATGCTTACTTAAAAGCAGAGCCAGAAACATTACACATCAAAAAACTTCTTACGTTACTGATTGCTTCTCAACCACCAGATGGTTGCATGTTATTAACATGTTGTGTTGCTCTCAAGCAGCCAGAAAAGTAGAAGGTTCCTGCTAGTGGGGGGAGGGAGATTTTAATATTGCACTTTGGAAATCTTTATAACAGCAAAGGCAAAACCAAGGAATTCTTCCCTTATCACTGAGGATCAATAAAATAATGACACAAAACCTGAATGAATCCATTGCATTTCTCAAAAATGCCTTAAAATTTACCTTTAAAATAACTTTTCAAAGCAACCAGGTGTTACTTGTTATACTTCAGTAACTTAGATTTGATCTTATTCATTATTACTAAAAAGTAATGTTGTAAGTACAGTGGGGTCTTGACTTAAGAACGGCTCAAGTTAAGAACATTTTGACTTAGTAATATGACATAAGCTTCTGAAAATAATGTTGTGGTTATAGTCTTAGGCATGCTTATTTAAAAGTAGAGCCAGAAACATTACACATCAAAAAACTTCTTACGTTACTGATTGCTTCTCAACCACCAGATGGTTGCATGTTATTAACATGTTGTGTTGCTCTCAAGCAGCCAGAAAAGTAGAAGGTTCCTGCTAGTGGGGGGAGGGAGATTTTAATATTGCACTTTGGAAATCTTTATAACAGCAAAGGCAAAACCAAGGAATTCTTCCCTTATCACTGAGGATCAATAAAATAATGACACAAAACCTGAATGAATCCATTGCATTTCTCAAAAATGCCTTAAAATTTACCTTTAAAATAACTTTTCAAAGCAACCAGGTGTTACTTCTTATACTTCAGTAACTTAGATTTGACCTTATTATTACTAAAAAGTAATGTTGTAAGTATTCACATTGCTCACTGCTCAAAGGTAAGCCCCATTGTACTCAATGTGATATATTTTTAAATAGGATTGCCAGGTAAAACTTCAGCCTTTTAAAAGCCATCAATTCTACATGGATGGTTTTTTCTAAACATTAAATATATTGTTGGCTGTGCTGTTTTTATGCACTGTGAAGCTACTCTTATCTTTTTAAGGTGGGTGGAGTAAAAGTGTAATGAAAAATAAATATCTGCAGATGTCTTCCTAGGAGTCTCCCGTAGATAGATTGCTGATATTCATATCTGTAATTTGCTAGCAACTCCTTCATGCTCCTATGAGGACCCAAATTGACAAGGATTGATCTGAATCATTATGTCTGCTGAGAAGCAGAAGAGCCCAATCATGCAAACACTTATGCACAAGGGTATTTTTGTGCATGTGAAAATCTTCCAAATTAGCAGATGAAAATCGTTGGCTTGTTTAAGAGTATCCGTGTCGCGGGAATTAGAAAACCAAAAGATACCAAGCAAATTATTCTATCATTCATAGAGAGCAGTTATTATGCAAAGTGCTGTAACTTTATCTTGTTCCCAGGAAGTTACAGCTGCCAATTTTCTTCCTTCTGGAAGATTTGTGACAAGTAGAAATTCAAATGAAGAAGCTTTTTCTGAAATGGAGATTCTGTATTGGGGGGAAAAAGCAGGCTTGGTGGTAGTTTCCAGCACTCCTGAACAACTGTGAGGGCCCATAAGCATTGATCTCAGCCCTCCTTTGCCCTACACTCCACAGCTATGACCCATTTAAAATTTCCACATTTACATGGAATGCCCAATATCATAGGCTGTTCATGACTGGAGTGTGGGGGAAAGCTTTTCCTGAATTGGTGGGGTGAGTCCCTCTCAGAGAATAACCAGAGGGTACTTAAGATTTATACAGTCGTGCCTCACTTAACGATTGCCTCGCTTAACAAGGAAATTGCTGCATGATTAGGTTTTTGCAATTGCTTTTGCAATCGCAAACGATATTTAAATGGGGGTTTTCTGCTTTGCAATGATCGGTTCCCTGCTTCGGGAAGCGATTTTCGCTTTACGACTATCAGCAAACAGCTGATCATCTGGTTTCAAAATGGCCACCGGGTGAAGAAAATGGCCCCCCGCTGTTTTCTAGAATGGATTCTTCCCTTTACAGGCACCGAAAATGTCCACCATATGGAGTATCTTCGCTGGACGAGCAGTTATTCAACCCATTGGAACGCATTGAATGGTTTTCAATGCATTTCAATGGTGTTTTTTTTAATTTCATTTGACGACATTTTCACTCTACAGCAATTTTGCTGGAACAAATTAAAGTCGTCAAGCGAGGCACCACTGTATTCCTAAGCAATAGTGTAGGTTGAGCTCAGAAGATCTGGCCAAGTGAATGAGCAGTAGGGACAGTGGTGAGACGGGAGGCCTGTTTACCTCACCCCTCTCTGCCCACAATTTGGTGCTAATGTTGGATGTCAGAAAAATTCCCACTGCTGATTTTGGCACATCAAAGTTCTGCTAAAAGTCCAGGAGGACACTAATCTGATTGGCTCCTCTGACTGCCAATCATAGGTAGAAATATCTTGTGGCTACCTATCATGTTAAAACTGAAATAGCTCATTCAGTCATTCACCTGCTGGTTCCAAGTGAAGAATACCTGCAGATGTGAGGCAAATCCAAGATCTTATTGTTTTGACCTTGTGGAAAGCTTTGACTCTGACCTCTGAAAGCACTGTCCTTTCCCCATTTGCAGACAGCATTGATTATGGGCCGGTGTTTATACAAGAACCTGATAATGTGATTTTCCCTGTGGACTCAGATGAGAAGAAAGTATCCCTCAACTGCCAAGCACGAGGAAACCCTGCTCCAACCTACAGGTAAAGAGCAAGCTGGTAGGAATGTGCCAAACTGTTTGTTTTTGTCTTTATAAATTTACCCTAGTTTCAATCCCAGTTTCATTTATCCTTGTTTCAGCTTTAGTTTGTGATCTTTAAGCCAAAAATATGCAAAATCTTTCTCCTGACACACTCTTCTTTTTAATCAGGTTTCTGTACATTTTAGAGTGGCATTTTCCTGGAATGTATGTGTTTTGTGGAATGCTGTCTTCACAAATACACACACTTTACCATGCATAGTCTGTTAGCATTTGCGGTTAGGAGGACTCACATAACTTGATGGTGTCGGACTAGACCCAGTCAGTGTGTACAGTGGTTCTGGATGAGGAAAGTTTTGCTTCCAACAAGATCTAAAGAATCAATATCCATATGTTCCTGTTAGAAAGTGAGGAATTTGCCCTTGTTCCGAAGTCTACAAGAATCCTTGCAAGGTGAGTAAATGTGAGAAATAATCAACCAATTGATGGATGGAGAGGAGATGGATCATGCCTGCTGAGCTACATAAGACTGTGGTTTGACCTTGTGAGGGTTCAGATGTTGGGCCTCTTTTTCTTTCAAATAAACCAGGAGTCATTTGTAAACTGAACTCAAGAGTCTTTGTTTATTATTTCAGGTAACTGCAAAACACCTTTAACTGATTTCTGTTGTAACTTCTTTTGCGAGACCAACAGTCTCACAAAGGGCAACTACATTTCTGTTTCAAACGGGTTAAGAGACTTAACTTCCCAAGGTCCTGCCAGTACAGGTTCTATTTCAGGAACTTCTCCATCGACTCTCTCAGGTGTTAATAACGGGAGGGTTTCCTCATCCCCAGTCCATCCCCACATGGGGGTTCCCGCTCCCTTGCAGGCACCCCATGGTCCTGGTAGCACCTCATCCTCTGCATCTCTTCTACTTGTCATGCCTGGCATTCTGCAGTTTCTCTTGCCACCGCTTCCGTTTCCTCTCTCAGGTGGCATCTCCGCTCCCTTGTCTCAGATTCACCCCAATAAGATGGGCGTTGGGGTAACCCTCAACGGCAACGATAATCAGCCTCTTCTTTTGGCACTTTTACCCACTCCCATCGTCTGGTCCACAGGTTTTCCAACCAGATTAATTCCCACCCTCCTGGTATGTTGTCCCGGTTCATATTTATATCCCCTGTGCCCGCCTCTACCACAGACTGCCCTCCTTCCTCCTTTCCCACCAACTCCGGCTCTGTCTGGGTAGAGATGGTTAACCCCTTCAGACCCGTTTCCAAATCCCGAGTGTCTAACCCCTGATGAACCATTTTAGGAGTAGGTGGTGGAGTAGTCTGCATGCTTCTAGATGCTTTCCTGAGAGACGACACTCCAGCAAGAACCTCCAGGGTCTCGTCTCTTGTACTACAGACTTACACTCATGATTTTTTTTTTCCATCCTTATGAGAACAGTTTCTCAGCACATTGAAACATGTTGTCGAGAAAAGGGAAGCCAACCGCTAGGTAACTTTTCACTCCTTCCCAAAAGTGAAAAGGCCAGTGTATATCACCAACAGCTGAAACAAGAGTGAACATTTTGTGTCAAAAATCACAACCCCTGTGTTTTTCACAGCATACAAGTTTTAGCTCAAAATACAAAGGAGGTTTTTGTGTTGTGCGCTTTGCATAAAAATACTTCTGCAAAGTTTTTTGGGGGGAATTCTCCATATGTAAAAAAAAATTATAAAGACTCATAGCTTTGTTCCGTGGGAAAAAGTTTTCAATACTTTTCATTTTCATGTGCAAGAATGAAATTAGCAAATACATACATGTCTAGTCTTGGCATATTCTGATCTGGTCTATAGACAGCATTTATGTGTATCACATATACGCATATTGAGTATAGATTGTTTGGGTGGAACAGATATACAAAGCTGTATATTCTGAAAGGTCTCTGAACAAAATATCAGTGTCTGAATGTCAGGAGATGCTATTAGAAGATAGAAAAATGGCATCTCATTTACCCTATGGAAAATGGTTGACTATTTACTTTGCTTTCCTTTTTAAGATGGTTTCGGAATGGAACAGAGATAGACGTTGAAAGTGATTACCGCTACAGCATGGTAGAAGGAAACATCATCATCAATAATCCCAGTGAAACAAAGGATGCTGGGCAGTACCAGTGCTTTACCACCAATATTTTTGGCAGCATTTTGAGCCGAGAAGCTACACTTCAGTTTGCATGTAAGTAACAATCCACTACAATTGATTCTATTACTTTGCCCGATTTGAATGACGGCATTAAACCACTTTAGTCTGAATAAGAAGGGGAAAGAGTCTCAATTATAAAGGACTGCCACATTTGCCCCTTCCCTACTATTTAGTGTCTGTTGTGTCTTGCTGTGTGATTATGTTTGTAAGTTAGTAAGTAAGTAAGTAAGTAAGTAAGTAAGTAAGTAAGTAAGTAAGTGTGAGCTAAAGGAGGCTCTATGTTGTACCCCATGTTTTGGAATTCTCTTCCTGAGTCCCTGCTAGTCCATTACGCACACGACATGCGTTTGTTCATGTTAATGTATACGATATACATTTGTTTATGCTATTGCTAAGTTTTACTGAATTTTATCACTTATTGGAAGTATTTTATTGTTGTGTGTGTTTTTATGTATTGTTTTTTGTGTTGTGCACCACTTTGGGTAGTTTTGGAAAGAAGAACAGCACATGAATGAAAATAATGAATAAATATTAAATAAATAGATAGCTGGGACAGTGTAGAAAGAACTTAGATATGGGTTTTCAGGCTGGTTGTTCATTGAGGGCAACACTTTCCCTAGTGGTACTAAGGACTAGTGTTTAGGATTTTAGGCATTAAAGGTGTTAAAAGGTGGTGCTTACAACTGTGTGAGGAGTGTGTGACCCAGCTAATAACATTAGCAGAAAGGTAGGCATCTCCTCAGGCTAGAAGATTACATGGTGCCAAAAAGTAACTTTTCCAACTCTGGCATTACTAATGACTCAACCTATATTTTTAACACTTGCCTCTCTTGACCAGTAAATTGCTGTTAATTTACCCACATCCTAGCATGTGTCTTTCTCGTGAAAGAGGGGGAAAATGCGGAATAACTCCTTTCACATTTCTAGAGCTCTCCACAACAACAAATACTCTCTCTTGAGATACAGTAATTTTTAATGATGTGCAGCAATTGCCAGTATAAACTTGTCACCCTACCATTTGAGCTTGTTGCCATGCTGTTAAGGTATTTGAAATGAAAAGTGACATTGCCTGCTTCCCTCAGTTCCTGCTGAGTTTAGAACCAGCACACAGCTAGCAATCTATCAAAAGCCTAGATATTTACACATTTGTATCAAATGCAAAATGAGTGTAAGGAGGAGTGTTCCCAATTTCTGCTTAGTTCCTAGATTCAAAGTCTCCACGTAAGTTACTCTACCAAACTAAGACTGTCTCTAGATGCAGAGCATGCTTCTTTTTGGGTCATTTGCATGATTCAGACCACAGCTTAGTGGCAGATCAAAGACTCCCATCTTTAATTCCAAGTATCCCCAGATAAACCTGAGAACTGAAACCCCAAGACGTTTCTGCTTGTCAAGGCATCCCAGGCTAGAAGGATCAATTGCAAGTGGAATCAAACTCACCAGATTGCCTCACACGATATAAGGCAGCTTTCTGCAAACTCAGGGGAGTTCACCCCACTTTGCATTAATTAAGACATGTTATCTATTCTTTCTTGATACATTTTTTGAGGAGATTGTCCCAATCACGATGGAGACAAAAGGATAAGCCTTCTTTTCTCATAAACTTCACCCTGCCTCCACACAGAACACTTGCAAAGTAAAAGGACATGCACTATGTCCAACCTGAAAATCATACATACATTTATTCTGGTGCTAACAGAAGATGTGTACCATCCTCTCAACTTTAAAAAGGTAAAGGTTCCCCTTGACAATTTTTTTGTCCAGTCATGTTCGACTCTAGGGGGCGGTGCTCATCCCCGTTTCCAAGCCATAGAGCCAGCGTTTTGTCCGAAGACAATCTTCCGTGGTCACATGGCCAGAGCGACTTAGACACGGAACGCCGTTACCTTTCCGCCGAGGTGGTCCCTATTAATCTCCTCGCATTTGCATGCTTTCGAACCACTAGGTTGGTGGGGGCTAGGACAAGCGACGGGCGCTCACTCCGTCGCGTGGATTCGATTTTACGACTGCTTGGTCTTCTGACCCTGCAGCACAGGTTCTGCAGTTTAGCCCACAGCGCCACCACGTCCCTCAACTTTATTTGTGCCTAAAACAGGGTGCACAGATTGCTGCCCAGTCTACCCTATGTCGTTTCGATACTGTAACCTGAATTTGGTCCAGGTCCATTATGGTATTTGTGCAGTAGTAGTTTATTGTTATAATGCCAGGTCAATAGTAAAGCATGACTTAAGCATAAAAGTAATATGTGAAATACAGATATTAAAATGAGCAGATGCAATGAGCAGATGATGCAATAAAAATATCCAAATGCATAGGCTAAGCTTGAAACTACAATTTATGCAAATATCCAATAGGTCTAGGATAAATCATACTCTTCCTGTTTTTAAAAGAAAGTAAAATAAAAATGGCTGTTTGACAACGAATATAAGAAAATCCATGCACGGAAAAGTAGCTTATACATTCTACTGAAAGGATGAAATTATCAGCAATGTAATGCAATGTCCTTTAATACATCTTGTTGACGTATTAAAGGGGCAAAGTGGGACATACAGTGGTACCTCGACTTGCGAATGTCCCTATTTGTGAATGTTTCGAATTACGAATTTTTGAGTTACGAATGGCTCTGTTCGCAAAACGTTGCTTTGACCTGCGAATGGAGCCTCTACTTAGGAACCAAAAAAGGAGAAAAAAAACCCCTTTCCTGCCCTTTTTTGACCTAAGTTCACCTCAGGTCAAAAGAAGAAAAAAATTTAAAAAATTGCCCCTTAGTGGTAGAGTACAGATTAACCGGCTTTGCTTTAGTTCCTATGGGAACTAATGCCTCTACCTACGAACAGCACTTCAGCATACAAATGGAAAACAGCAGATACTGATTAAATGGTTTTCAGTGCATTCCAATGGGAAAGTCTGACTTGATTTACGCACTTTTCAACGTACGAACTTAATTCCAATACAGATTAAGTTCGTAAATCGAGGTACCACTGTAATGTTTAAGACAATTACATTATCACAGAGCCAGAAGGTCTTTTCCTTGGGAACCTTATGTAATCTGCCCTCAGGGTATGTTGATAGGACAATTTGACAACCAAACCTAGTGAATGTTTTTCATTGTGTTGGCTAGTGAATTAACTAGACACTATGTTTAAATTGTTTTTCCCAAAATGGTACTGCCATTGAAGGAACTTGAATGTTGAACCAACTTGAATGTTGAGTCAAATGAGCATGTCAACCGCTAACATACCAGCCCATGAAGAAGTCATCTAGGGATCTTTCTTGTATCCTAAGGCTTAAAATCATGTAACAAAGGTGAGAAATAAATTTAGGCAATACGGCTAGTCTATTTGCCTATTGGTTCCCCTCCCAGAAATGCATAAAGGATAACACTCAATCAATCAAACATCTTGACATGTTTTAACAAAGACACAAATGTTTTTGTTTCTATATCTCAGTGAAATATCTCATTCCACAAATGGAAATGCTCAAACAGCACAAGCACCATCAATTTCAAGGACACAGTAGACCTTAAATAATAGTTATTTTGCAAACACACACCTTGTAAGAGGTGGGGTCCCTTAACCGTTGCACTTGGGTCAGGAAAGGAATAAGTATAGTCTATAGGAAAGCAGCTGCTGTGCTTGACAGAGGTGGATATGCTGGTGACCCAGATCTTTGGTTTTGAAAGTAAGGGGAATTCAGCTGTCATGAGGGAGGGAGGGAGGGAAGCGGGATTTGAGAAGATGCTGAGGAAATTCCAGGGAAGCTCCAGGCTTAGTTACAAGGATATAAATTTATTGTGTAACTTACAAAGGTACCCAACAGGTAGAATTATCAACAGCATGATTTACAGCTCACTGCAAGATGTTTGAATACATGTATAAACAATCTTTATATATCTATATTGTGTTTACATTAATAAGTTGCAGCTGGGTAATACATTATTAGTTCATGTATTGAAGAGTGGTATAGGCATGTAAACTACTTGGTCCCTATTCAGTGTCACCCCATGGTAAACTCAGGTATGCATAAATAAGCTCGTTAGCAGGGTTTGATTATCTCATCTGTTGTTTCCAGTCCCCTTCGTTTCCCAAAACTTCAGCTTGACTGTCCTCTGCTCCATCTCTGAATTGTGAGAACAGTAGGACAACATGGAAACCAATCAAAATGGAAGACAGACACTTCCCATTAAATGCCAGGCCCAACATTTGGTTAAAAACTTTTTAATGTCACAGATGTTGAATGGGATTGGAGAGATCCCTGAAGTTGTTTCCAACACATGGGTGACCATGATCTGCTTGATATACTCAGTGCTCACCCCCAAATAGCTCTGATAGATTTATTCCATTGTCACATGTGTATCCAAAGACAGTGGACATGCCTAGTCATAAGCAATATACGCAGAATTGCATTGCTGGGTCTGAAAATTATCGATGCTTACCGTAAAGCTTAAGCTTTATGTATTCAGCTTGTATTGATACTTCAGAATTGGAATCCATGTCATGGGGAAATGTTTATCTATGCTACTGCTGCTGTGCTTCTATTTGCAATTTTCCATACTTGTGAGAATTTTGAATGACAATTGTACCTGCAGCTTTTCACAATGTGCAAGAATGGATTTCTCTTTCAGCATTCGTACTTTTTTCATAGTTGTAAGAACTCTTTTTGTAAGAAATAACGTGCCTAAAACTTCTAGGTTCCATATTTTCAACAATTATTAACCGTTTTTATGCATATGGACCATCGAGGGAAACGCAGGGAAATAAAGCTTGTAGAATTAGGCAAGCTGACTTGGCCTGGAATTAACTTTTTACCTGGGAAAAGTAGCATGAATATGCAAGGATATCTAAAGAAAGATTTACTTTATCATTATTGAAACAGTGGTTCATTCCCATACTTCGAAAGGTGATGGAGCATTTAAACAATGAAAATACTGACACCTTAATACTCAGATCAACACTGATGTGATTGAGAAGGTTATTCGATTTCACAGCTGAAATTAAGCTTCACATAGATAAATGTCAGCTATGATGGACCCA